CAAACAATTGGGAATATGGTTTGGAGTTTATATCTCAATATTGAGGGTGTTTTGGTGAAGATTAAACTTGATTTTGGCTAAATTTCATATTGAAACTCGTCGAAGAAGAAGAAGAAGAAAACGTAATATACATTATATTTACGAAATTGTAGAAAAATTGTATTATGTTGTTTATATATTTTTCTTTTATTTAACTATTATATGAAAGTTGAACAATATTGTATAAAAATTATATTTAAGTTGTATGATATTGTAGTTGTATATAACTGAGTGAAATAATGTATGAAAATTGAGATAAGTTGCAGATAAGTTGTATAATATATAATTAGTTGTATGAAATTTGTTTTTACTATGTATAAAACAGATACAAAATATACAAAAGACATATTGTATAAAAACTGTATTTAAGTTGTATGATATTGTAGTTGTATTTAACTGTGTAGAAATAATGTATAAAAGTGTAGATAAGTTGTAGATTAGTTGTAAATAAGTGTATACTGTAAGTATTGAGTGTGATCCAACAGAAAATAGTTGGGAAAATCTCCAGATCATAAAAAAAGATAATTAGAAAAGAGATAAAGGCTAGTTTAAACAAATACTTCTAAAATTATATTTAGTTAATCTCTTTTATTTTTAATTCGTGTGGGTTGCAGATATGGTGAACCTGTGAGATGTTTAATATGCCACCTCCATAAGCTTTGTTTGTGAAGCACTGAAGCATGATCTTTGATGCATGATTTTTATACAAAAAACACAACTAGCATCCTGTGGCAGCAACCTAGGCCAGCAAATTATGTATGAAATTGGAATATCTAAGCTCTGTTTCAGTTGCTTACTCATCAACGTAAGTGAGCAGAGAAATCTCTTTTCAGAATATATTCATCAAGCAAGTTATGGTTAATTTTTTCTCAAAGAATCGACGGGTAATTTAAAACAAAACTTTTTTTTTAATTTTTCGTATTTCACCCCGTACTTTTGGAAAACTAATTAAAGAGGGGGCCAAGCTCCAGAAGAAGAGGATGGAGGTGGTAAGAGGACGTAATGAGAGAGAGGAAAAAGGAAAGAGAAGAAGAGAAAAAAAATGAAAAGGGGTATAACTAAATCCCTTGATTGAAGGCACAAATAATAGATTTGGGAGTCTTTTAAGGTGAATTGATATTTTGTAAACAAAACGTGTTTATGCCAGGTAATTAGCTAAACATAGACATTAAGGGTAATAAATTTTCAAATAGTATCACATTATTAAATAGTATATATATTATTTATAGATTTTAGGACCCTAAGCATTTTGGGGGCCTAAGGCCATTGCCTTAGTAGACTTGGGCTCAAGCTAGCTTTGTGGCTACAGTTGGGTTGGTGTTTTACGAAGAAGTGTGACTTCATAATCTATCAGCTTTGCATGGATCCCATCAAAGGATACAGTAGAGTAGATTCGCGGGATCATAGAGAGTCAATAGACCATTAAAGATGTATAAAGCAAGTTCATCGTCATCAATAATAGTACCAATAGCAGCAAGTTGGCCAGCATCAGCAAGTTGGTCTGATAAATGCTTAATATGTTGAAGATAGGATGTGATTGATTGAGTCCCTTTTGTGGCTTTAGAGACTCTCGCAAACTCATTATGTGGGCACGTGATGGCTTAGCATAAGTTTTAAATAAGTATTGCCAAAGATCATAAGAGGTTTAAACAGATATCACAAAGGGAATTATTTATGGAGATATTGAAGATACAAGGACACTTCGGATTAGTTGATCTTGTCAGAGCAAGTAAGATTTGTTGGTACGTTCGGACAGGGTCCCGAGGGGCTCTAGTTTCGAATAAGTTTGAGTTGTATAACTTTCGTTTTTTATGTTTCAACGTCTTTCTTCACACATAACTGATACCACACTAAGCAAATAAACTCCAATTTATGTTTTGATTGAAGCATTAGATCCATATCGTAATTGCAGAGCCATAGCAAAAAGAACCATCAAATTTGGACATCATAAGAAGAGTTTTTACTAAGAATAGAGTCATTGTCCAAAGATGGCTAATTAGGGTGGCAACCGGGTCAAAAATTGGTATTCAAAAAATAAATAAATTATCCGACCCGCCTCGCATTTGAGAAAAACAAATTATTCATAATATAAATATCCATATTATTCATGACTTCTTAAATATGATTACTTATGAGAGAATTCTTAGTCTTCCAAACTTGAGGAACCTCCAATTTGTGGCTTTACAAATATAAAAGTTAAAACACATTAATTATCCATTTGATTAACCATTTTCTAAGTTGATAATATTGATCATTATCCATATTCGACCCGATTTTTAAAAAATTCATTATCCAATCCATTTTTTAATAAATAATACGAATGAATAATTATTTTTTTTTAACCATTTTGCCACCTCTAATTATAATCAACAAAATGCATAAAGCCATACCCTTTGAGCAAGGATTTCCATTGTGTATCCCATGAAAAATAGTTGGTTGTGGTTAGTTTTAAAGGGATCTGAGTAGTAGCATTATACAAGGAATATAATGTGAACATAGTGTAAGAATGAAAAGCCTATATTGGTAAGTCACAGAATTGATGGCTTAACCAGATGAGGATCTTTTAGCATGAACTGCAAAATATGTTCTTTCCTTAGTGGATTGATTTGCTGAATCACTTATTTCCTTACACCATTTCCTTATGAAAACCAACAGGAATAATTTACGGCACATTTGTTCGCTCAATTAAGTCAAAAAACACCTTATATGTCAATAAGTTCGTATTTAATTCAATAACGTGTAGCCACAAATAGATAGCCAAAACAAAAAGGGAGAGAAAACATGAACTAAAAGAGGGAGAAAGCTGCTTAGAATTTGCAATCAATTAATCATGAACAATTTTCATAAGTCCAGACATAATTTTAGCAAGATCATCACTGCAAGCTGATGAAATGAGTAACTAAAGACATTTACATAGAAGAAAAAAGGCACAGCAGACAGAAATTACAACCTCAAAAGAAACTAAATTAGAATAGCTATAGCTCTCAGAGAAATTCCATGAAAGGAAGTTATGCAGACATTCAACACGGCATCAGGTTCTGACCGCCCGTCTGCTTTCTCTCATCAAAGAGCAAGAATTAAGAATTTACCCATTAAAACTAAAAATTCTCTGACAAATACCAAACAAATTTAAGTATATGAACAACTACAAAAAGAAATTGATAGCATCAGATAATAAGCGGAGTTTATAATCCACATGATTATTCAGTGTAAACAAAAATATCATCATTTGCCATGTAACAGAGCCATAAAATTATCAAATAAAACAGAGGGAAAACAATATAAATATCGGAAGGTCCATTTGACCCCAAAGCAATGGAGTATAAAGTGCAATGGGCTGGTAAGCCAACCTTTTCAGTTTATGCATCAGCTATAACTCCTTATACATACAGCAAATCTGCTGGCACAAGAAGAGGGTAAATCCGATGCAAATACGAAAAGACTAAACAGCAATTTTGAGAAGCAATAGACAAATAGAATCAAAGAGACATCGGAATAGCTCAATCAATAGCGGCTAGGTTTTTTCTTTCTTTCTTTTAACCCTTTGATGGACTGATATTGGAAAAACGGCTAGGGTTGTGCTTATATAGGGTTTTGAGAATGCTAGGGTTTTGATTCTTTGGAGAAAAACGCTATAGTGGTCGACCCGGATTTTATTTTATTTTTTCTCTATGTGATACGTGGTGAGCAAACGCAAATAATGTGTACGTTCATTTTTATTTGTTCATTATCAAATTTTATATATTCCTTAAAAAATAATAAATAACTGATACATATTTAATATCCATATTAATTGATGCATATTTTTAATAAATTTGAATAGGTAATTAATACTGTAGATATAATAATAAAAAAGAATTGTCTTCTCTTGATATGTTAAAAATATAAGTAAAAATGAAATCTATTTTTAGAATACTAAATAAGTAAAAGTGTATGGAGGAAGTACGAAAGTACATTTACATAGTATATAGTACTATAAATAAATACATTTTCAAAGCTATTGTTTATTTTTAATGATTTACGCAAAGCATCCAATACATTTTCAAAAAAAATATAAAACTACCATGCTTTTTTGCAAAGGAACTAAAAGTAATTTTACAGAAATGCATTTTCAAGATTTTGAACAAAACGCACTACCACGAATATTTTTAAGCTTCAAATTTATTTATTTTTTCCTCTTTTAAGCTTCAATTTCAAGTTAATCTTATGGGCTTACACATTGAATCAAGTTGAGCTAGTCTTCCATGTTTTTTTGGGTTTCTCATCCAGTGTTCGGTACTCACATTGGGGTCCGACAAAATTCGAATTCGCGTTGGGAAGTCGCACATTGCAGGTAAAGCGCTACCTAACAAAGACAACTTTATAACCAGGGTTTCGAACCCCGACACCTCTGGTTGAGGATGCAAAAATATTTGTCACTCCATTCCATGCTGAACTCAAACAACCTCACTAATACAAGTATATAACACAAAGCCGAGCTGAATCCGAGCCTTTTTGGTTCAGGGGACTTGGCCCAAGTTATAGAATATCAAATTTATCTTTTATCAACTCTTTAGTTTTCAGTTGATTTTGGGAGATGAGGATTTAGAAAATTTTATGTTAAAATGAGGATACATATAACAATGTTCGCATTACATTTAGTATATTTTATCACTTTTTCACAAGCATTAGATTTCCTATATTTGGTCCAGTACTATAGTACTATAAGATTTACTTTATCGATCCCATACAAGTCAATGTAGAAGTAGATCTTTCTGGTTTGAAGAAAATGGATAAAATGTGACGCAGGAAGCATATTAGGAGGGGGAGATCTTACCCTGCATTTCTACAAGAGGCTATTTCCACGGCTTGAATCCCGTGACCTCCTAATCACATGGCAACAACTTTACCAGTTACGCCAAGACTTCCTTCGGAAAAGCAAAAATTTGAAAAGCTTAATCAGAAAAGAAAAAAACAGTACGTCATTAAACAATCTAGTAATTATGCGATGAGAGAGAGGGAGACTCTTAAGTGAGTGCATGAGTTAAAAACTAAAAATAAATATACACCTGAAATCTTCTTGACAAGAAAAGAAAAAGATGTAACCTATATATATACAAGGAAAATTTTCACATCAGCAACCCATTCCTTGCTCTTCAAATTCAGCAGGAGGCAAGAAGCAGTCCATTGGCAAACCAGATATATTGAAATCAATCTCTTCAATCATCCAAGTCTCCTCGATCTTTGCTCTATAGTCTATGTTCTTTCCATATCTGTAAATTGTTGCTGCAGTCTTCCCACTGTGAGCAATGTTGATACCTTCAATATATCTATAATCTTCAAGCATAGATTCCATACTTGTTTCCCAAAAGACATTGCTATCCCCTTTTGGTGACTTCAATCTTACTAATTTTGTGTCTTCAAATTGAATCAGAAGACCTGTCCTTTGGCTGAAGTATCCCAATATTGTGTGATGGACAACTTCTGTATTTGCCGTACTTTGTGCCTTGAGCATGTCTATGCTTGATTCTAGTTTTAGAATAAAACATTCTTCATCCTTAATAGTCTTTTCTCCAACGCAAATCGCATTCAAGAACAAATTGGCCGTTGATCTGGGGTCCAAGCCCTGTTCATCAAAATACATAAGCAGTTGGATGAGCATGCAAAAAGTCATGAATATGCATTAGAAGATACATGATTTACTTTGCCATCAAAATTAAGCATGCATTCTAGGTAAGCAACCGAAATATATTAAAGAAATCTCATTTCATTGCATTTGGTTGTACCAACTATGTCTCCATTCTGTTGAAGCAAAGACTATAGACATGATTTAATTACAGAAATGCGGTCTATGTAACACTTTCATCAGCAAAAGGGTACCTGGAAAAATCTTCTAAGGGGTCTTGGAGGACCTTTTGAAGCACTAGAAGTAGAGGAAGATTGACTCCAAGCAACCTTCCCATTACTTCCTGCACTTATCTTGCAACCTGAAACAACCAATTCTAAAACCCACAGGTCAGGGTTCTTCTGCCAAAGCACAAAGGCTCCAACCTCACAATGGCGTTTCGAGTTGGCGTTACCATCACTTTGATGCATGTCCCATGTAGCCATCTTCACCTGCCCTACTGCACACATGCTATTCAGCGAATTTAACGCCGCCTGCCCTCCACATGCTGCCAAATATTGTTGTACTATGTATTTAGCAGTAGAAGTCTCCTGATGACCATAACGAGTTACCAGTTCAACATATATAGTTTTTCAAACTGAAATCTAAATCAGTTAAAACAAATCTTGTCTTTTTTCCTTGAACCTTATTCACATCTAAGGAGTTGAACAAGAGCATCTGCCCAGGGCAAAATTTTAGATGTAAGTACAAAACAAGAAAATGGTATATAGCAGCACTGAAAATAGGAACTAGACATTGTTTCTCTAAAACTCTTGAAACAACAAATACAGTTTACATTTTTAAAGCCTGTAATTGTCAATATTTGTAGAAGGGGTTACCAAAAATAACAAGTTATATTGCTAGATTTTATCCAATTTTAAGATTTAATCGCATTCAAGAATGTTCGTAAGAAAAGGAAAAAAGGAATAGAGTGCTTACCATTGAACCATTCCTAACAGGCATGTTATCAGCAATATGGTCCAATTGAACTTGAAAAGGGACAAGAGCAGAGCCAACGATTTTAAACAAGAACACGAATTGATCATTACTTGATACAGCGGCATGATGAGAAGAAGAAGAATATCTGTCTGCACTTTGAGCCCTCATAAGATTGCGCATATTCCGCCATTGTAAGGCAGCATTGCTACCCATATTGTTAAACATCTCTTCTGGTATGGGGACCTCCAAAACTGTCTCCAACCCATCTGCCTTGTCCAAGTTTGGACACAAGGTTCTCATGGGATGAATAACCCTCTATGGGATTAATCTTGATTTGTCTTTGGGATTTTTGTTAATGGAAACCAGGAAAGGAAAGAAGAAGAAGAAGAAAGATTATTAGTAGTACATAAAAGAAAGAGGAAGTTTGCAGGAAATCATCAAACCTGCAAGAATTAGAAAAAGGTCTTCCTCTTTCCTACTACGTGGGTGTTTCGTGTTTGGACGAAGAGCAGGTGATTTTTGTTGAGAATCACTAGGGAAGAGGAAAAGGAAGGAAAGGAGAGGTGGGTCTCTACCTTCTCTGCCATAGGTCTTCCTTGGTCGTAGCAGTCGTGTGGGCACGATTTTGGCGGGGAATATTATGATCAAAACTATCCTTATTCTTTGGTAAACCGTTTACATTTACCTATGGAAAGAATTATAAGAAAATACACATGACTTTACACTATAACAAAAAATGGTTTATGTTTTTAAGTTTTATCCGACCTAGCCCATATCATATATATTTTGAAAGCACTAGCAAATTCAAAAATTGTGTTCTTACAACCATTACTTATAAAAGCTATGGAGTTAAATCTGTGTTCTCACAACCATTGTTTTCACTCTCTCTTCTTCTCACATCTTCTACATATGCTTCAAGGAGCCGTGTATTTTTTGTTTCTCCTCTTGTGTCACCTGCTTACAATGTAAGAAAATTGAAGAGTAGAAGTTTACCATTGAAGACCATTCAAAGCTTTATTTTCGAAAATGGGTTTTTTGGAATTTGTTAGTTGTTTGGAGTGGGTGTTGTTCCAATTGATTGAAAATATCAAAAGGAGTTCAAAATTTAAATTTGAAGTGGTTTGGAGTAGATTTGAGCAAGATTTGAGTTAAATTTCAAAAAAGACGCAAGGAAGAAGACGAAGTCAGTTTTTTGTATAATCTTGTATAATAGTGTATGTGAGTGTAGAAACGCACTTTATACACTTTTATACACCTTTATACAAGCGTCTGTAGACGAACTTCTTCCACGATTTTCAGTTGCAATTCTTGTTCAAAACCAATCCAAATCTCCATTAAATGACTTTAAATTTTATATAAAACCTCCTTATATTATTTCTAACAAGTCTAAATAACACTCACTCCAAATTTCTCACAAAATCAAATTCGAAATTTAAACTCACATATTTAAACTTGTTAAAAATCTAATTTTCACCACCCAAATGAATTTGGTTTGTTGAACTAATATTTGAGTCGCAGATACTGATTCAAAAATTACTTTAAAAGCTTGAGGAATCTTTTTTAAAAATTAAATAGTAATTTTGAGAACCTATTGGAGTTGGATGTTGAATCTCAGCCTATTATTTTTGGGCTAGTTGGTTGTAAATTGAAATATGGGCTATAAGATTGAAAAGTAGGGAGCCCAGTTGTTCTAATAAGAAATTTTCCCTTACCTATGGGTCCAAAACGTATACCATATTATTTTTATTAATAAAAGGAAAAAGGTCCAAAATTGCCACTGTACATACTATATTGTTTAATTCTGCCACCCGTTATACTATTCGTCCAATCTAGCCCCTACCGTTAATCAACTTTTAAAATTTGCCCCTAACCTAACGAGTCTACACTGTGGCAGCTAACCCCCTCAATTTTTTCCATGTTTGCTGCCAAGTCACTCGACCCCACAAAATTAAAGCCCTACATACCCCCAAAACCTTTGTATAACAAGATGTAAAAATAAGAAATTTTGCTATGGAACTCTTAATAAACATCCTCAATCTCATGAAACCTCGAATTATCCGAGACCCTATTTGTGAAACCTCAAACCAAATAACTTTGGTTGACCCATTCAACAAGAAAATTACAGAAATTGAAGTTAGAACAACTGCACAATCGGCTTATAATAACACAATTGAGAGCAATCCCAAAAGTGCTTGCGCATTTGGCGTAGAAAAAATTCGGCTTGACGATGAAACGAATCATTATTTGAGTTCCATCTGTAGGATCAAAATGTTGTCTTGTGAGTTGTGCAATACACTAAGTTGAGAAGCTTGAAGGAGAACCTGAAATCCGAGAACTCCATAGCAGCCATTAACGAAGCTTGAAGCTCTGAATCTAATAATCGGGTTTTCGAAAATCGAAGTTATTCCGATCGGGTATTATTCCAAATAATCGAAAAACATTTTGCAAAGTTCATATCCATATTTTGGGGCTGATTCGTGAAGATTTAGACCACTTTTGAGCTGAAAATTCAGTAGTTCGACAAAGTTGCACCTGCAACTCTAGTTCGTCAGTTCCGAACTTTATATTATGGTTGCTGAAATTGAATGATTATATTACAAGTTGATTTTTGATATTTGATTTGTGTTCGGACTGAAATGAGATTTGGATTCATCCACTATAGTGAATTTTGGGAACCTACGATGTTGGGTGTTCGAAAGTTTACATAGGTTGGTTTAAAATTCAAAGTTGCAGACCAAATTATTGTTAAATTTCTTTGTGGTTCACTGTGTGGAGCTGGTGGTGCCGCCGAAACAGTGCTCTATTCTTCAAAGTTTGATTCAGCCAATTGGGGCATTCAAAATTATTAGAAACTTTGATAAGACGGGGTTGTGATACTTGACACATTTTTTTGGCATTGGTCATTCTGGCTAGAAGTCGTTAGAGGCCGATTTCGCCGGAAAATCGATGGTGGTAATACATATATTTCTCTGAGATGTATTTTTGTAGGCACATGTTTCTTAACATAGGGATGGAGATATATGATTCTAATTTTGCAAAGTGTGTTCGGAACCATCTTGAATAGCGATCGGCTTCGACTTGAAGGTTTTGGAGTGTGGAGGTCTATGAGTTAAGACATAAGAGAGGGAGAAGAAGATGAGAATATTTTAATAAGAAAAGGGGTAGGTTAATTAGTGGGACCTGCTGACATGGACAAAATATTAGAGGGGTTGGGTGCCACAGTGGAGGGACGTTAGGGTTGAGAGCAATTATGCAAACTTTGTTAATGGTAGGGATAGATTTGGACGAAAAGTATAACGGGGGACAAATTTAAACTATATGCCATAGTAGAGGGACAATTTTGGACCTTTTTTCCTTAATAAAGCTACCCCGTTTAACCGCAGTAGATGAGGAGCGCACTTTTAATGCATTGGCAACATTTTATGGGGCAACGTGGCTCCTGGTTTCACTTTATACATATGGGTATAATATACCCGCCCTATTTATTTTACACCGCTCCATAAATTTTTAGTTTTTTTCTCTTTCTTCCTTATCACCCAATACACCCACTCCCACCCACCTATCCGCTCTTAGCCATAAAACTCATCAAGTTTCACTTTATACATATGGGTATTTTTTTTTAGACTTCTGTTTTACGCTCTAAAAATATGAAATCTATCAAATTTCCTTAAATTAAAATCAAATTTTAAATAGATTCCTTTTCTACCCCCGCTTTTTTTTTCATTAATCTAAATTCATCTAACTTTGGTTCTTCCTTCACCACATAACATTCGATTCATAGGTTGAAAGTAGATGAGCTTATCACCAAAACCCAACCCTCTCCTCCTTATGTGATAGTATATGCCAAGAGCCCAAGGAGAAAGACATTCACCAAACTCATTCCGTGTGTATAAACACCCATTTGCTCTTTTCTAGTTTCATTGTCTATTTTTGCGATCCATTTAATAAGTTGTGTTTGTGGTACACAATTAAACACGCTATATTTGGTGGTAACAACTAGTGGCAAAGCTCTGCGTAATGAAGGGTTCAATTGATTCTTTTCAATTGAAAAATTATTTTATTACGTAAATAAACTATGTCATTTAGCCGCTAACCTTTCTCGCCTAAGAATTTAGAGGGTGTTTGGCTAAGCTTATTGTATGGGTTAAAACCGGACTTAGAAAACCGCGTGGCGTGGGAAGGTCGTTAAGTGAGAAGACTGTGTTTCGATTTGGGCGGCAAAGCCGAGGTCGACTGAAGCCCAACAACGAGCAGTCGCTAAGCAAGCCATTGAAGCTGAGGTTGAATAGCGAGGAGTAGGAATAACGGTTAGTGTGGTCTCGGGACTAGAGATGGGAATATTTCCTTGAATATTCCCTTTGTTGTACTTTTTTAGGGTTTTAGAGAACATCTCATATAAATAGAAAAAGAGAGAGAGGAAAGAGGCACGTGAGATTCATTCTAAAAAAAACTATTGTAAGAAGTTGACCCTTGAGAGAAAATACAAAGTTCACCTTTCCAAAATGATTGATTTTATCGATTATTCTTCCCTTCCACTCACATGATCTAAGAAAGCAGTGTTCATTTTCTTGTTTACTGTCATATTTCGTTGTCTGAAGGAAGAATCTTCCACATCATTTGATATTTGGGTGAATTGTTCTTCCTATTTATATGTATTGCCACTTTCCATATTTATTGATCATCATTCATTCTTCATTTATTCTCCAAAGTGCTCATTTAATGATTAAATATACGACTGTGAGCACTAAGTAAACGGTGTCACTTAACCTCTTAGCTAGATCTAAGAATTATTATACTTGACTAGGATTCACCTTTCACCTAAGTTATCTTTTAATTAGTTTAACAAAGAGTACTATACTTTTTGGTCAAACAATTTGGCACCGTCTGTGGGAACTTTCTATTCAAAATCATAGTCTTTCTAGATCTACAAAAATACACCAATAGCAAAGTACAAAATTTTATTTCCCCTACTTGCATAATCTAACATGGTAGGAAATGGAGAAGAAAGACTAAAAGCAGTGGCAGGCCTTACTAATAATCTCCTAAATACCATCAATGAAGCTCACGGAGAAAATGAGGAGAACGTGGCACCGAACGCATCACCCAGGCGAAGTGATTCACCCCCCCCCCCCTTTCATGGCAGCGTTACCGCTTCCCAAGGAAAGGAACCCTCTACGTCCACTACGGAAGAAGCACCACCAGCAGTAAAAAAGCTACTAGAAGCATGGCTAACGAGTACATTTAACAGTATACTCGACAAACCCGCTCAGATGGCGAGCAAAGAAGGTGTGCGAGTCGACATCGCCACAATAACCAATGAGCAACACACCCAGCCTCACTCGACAGGTATCACTCATTCTGTTAAGTAATGACGCCCTCGCTGCCATCCTTAAAAAAATGCAGGAGATGGAGAATGAGAACAAAGCACTCCACGACCAAATGAGAGACCATCAATAAAAGATAGATAAGTTACCGAGCGCCCCAAAACTCCTACCAAAGCGGGACGTCGGTCGGTCTGTGGAACAACCGTATAGCGATGAAGCCGCATCACATGCTATACCA